CAAAGAACCATTTGTATCAAGCCATCAGCAATAGTTTAATGGAAGGTGCATAGCAACAAAATACAGAACACTAAGATTTTAGTCCCAGCTCATTCATCATTTAAAATTCTAAACTCAGATAAATCATTTAACTTCTATGAACCTCAATTTCCTCAAATTCGAAAAAGGCCTTTCAAAGGTGTTTTTGTGAGAACACCTAAACCGTATACAAAACAAAACCGTTAACGATAATTCTTGTTTGACGTCTTGTTCTTCCCTAGAAAACCTCCAAGAAGAGATATATCTGTTCTGTCCTTAGTGTTTGCCTCCTGAGAGGTAACCCTGTTCATGATTGTGTCTCCTGCTTTTTTGTCCACGTCCTCTTGCTCCATGTAAAAAAAAACACCATTGACTGACATGGAGCCAGTAACTGATTCCCCTCTAATTCTCTTTGTTTCTGCTGTAATCTTCCTTTTAGAGTCTATTTTGGCCGTCTCAGCTGCTTTTTAAGAACATTTTCCAGAGACATGGGGGAATATCATGATCAAACGGACTATGAGCGAGTCATATCTTTAAATTAAATCTGAATCTCAGCTGAACACTTAACCAAGCTTCCTTCTTGTTTCCCTTTATCTACAGACAGACGCTAAGGATTAAGATGTCCCAAGATATGGATAGCTCCCAATGTCTAACCAATAGCTCAAGACTTCAAGTGTCTAAGTTCATCCTGATGGGACTCCCAGGCATTCATGAGTGGCAACACTGGCTCTCCTTGCCCCTGGCTCTGATCTACCTCTTAGCTCTTGGTGCCAATCCCCTCATCTTGATCACCATTCACCATGAGCTTAACCTGCACCCGCCCACGTATCAGTTCCTTAGTATCCTGGCTGTAGTGGACATTGGCTTGGCTACTACCATCATGCCTAAGATTCTGGCCATCTTTTGGTTTGATGCCAAGGCCATCAGCCTCACTGAATGCTTTGCTCAAATCTATGCTGTTCACTGTTTTATTAGCATGGAGTCAGGCATCTTCCTCTGCATGGCTTGTGGATAGATATGTAGCCATCACCACCCACTTCAATACTCCTCTGTAGTTACTGAAGCTTTTGTGGTCAAAACCATAGTATTGGGGCCGGCCCCATGGCTTAGCAGTTAAGTGCGCGTGCATCGCTACTGGCGGCCCAGGTTCGGATCCTGGGCGTGCACCGACGCACCGCTTGTCCGGCCATGCTGAGGCCATGTCCCACAAACAGCAACTAGAAGGATGTGCAGCTATGACATACAACTATCTACTGGGGCTTTGGGGGAAAAATAAGGAGGCGGATTGGCAATAGATGTTAGCTCAGAGCTGGTCTTCCTCAGCAAAAAAAAAGAGGAGGATTAGCATGGATGTTAGCAAAAAAAAAAAAAAAAAAAAAAACCATAGTATTCATGGTGTTTAGGAATGTCCTATTGATCATCCCAGTGCCTGTACTGGCTGCCCAGAGACACTACTGCTCCAGGATGAAATTGAACTCTGCATGTGCTCTAACCCAGGGGTCACTGGCTTGGCCTGTGATGACATCACCATTAATAGGTTTTATCAGTTGTCTTTGGCTTGGGTCCTTGATGGAGGTGACATGGCTCTAGTCTTTATTTCCTATGTTCTGATCTTTCACTCCATGCTGAGACTGAACTCTACTGAGGCAATAGTCAAGGTTCTGAGCACCTGCAGTTCACATCTCATCCTCATCTTCTTCTTCTACACAACCATTATTGTAGTGTCTATAGCCCACTTGGGAGGAAAAACAGTTCCAATCTTCCCTGTTCTTCTTAATGTGCTTAACATTGTCATCCCTTCAACCCTTAAACCCATGGTATATGCTCTTAGAGCCCGGGAGCTCAGAGTGGGCTTCCAGAGGGTGCTTGAGTTAGATGAGAATATGTCCCAGAAGTGACACAAACTTAAAGAATGAGATATGAGGTACTGCAAAAGAGCACAGGTTTTGAAACCCAACAGATGCAGGTTGGAATCTGATTTCTCTCATTCATTAGCTAAATATAATTTGTTAGATCCAGATGTTTGGTTTATCAAACACAGACTTTAGAGAAGCTATTGTAAAGATATTCAAAGAATTAAAGAGAACCATGCTTAAAGAATGAAAGAAAAATATGAGGACAATGACTCCACAAGCAGAGAATTTATTGAGATAGAAACTACATAAAAGAATCAAATGGAATTTCTGGGGTTGAAAAGTATGATAACTGAAAAAGAAACTCACCAGAGAGGTTCAACAGCAGATCTGAGATGGCAGAGGAAAGAATCAGTGAACTTGCAAATAAATCAATAGAAAGTACATAGTCTGAAGAACTAAAAGAAAAAAGATTAAGGAAAAATGAACAGAGACTCAGAAACCTATGATACAGTATCAAAAATACCAACATATAAGCCAGCCCTAATGGCCTACCAGTTAAAGTTTGGCACACTCTGCTTTGGTGGCCCAGGTTCAGTTCCTGGGCACGGAACCACACCACTTGTTTGTCAGTAGCCCTGCTGTGGCAGCAGCTCACACAGAAGAACCAGAAGAACTTACAACTATACACAACTATGTAGTGGGGATTTGGGGGCAGGGAGAAGAAAAAAGGAGGAAGATTGGCAACAGATGTTAGCTTAGGGTGAATCTTCCCCTGCACAAAGAAAAAAAAAAAAAACCAGCATATGTGTAATGAAACTCTGAGAAGGAGAAGAGAAAGCAAGAAAGGGGTAGAAAAATATGTTTAAGAAATGTTGGTTTAAAATATTTGAAGGAAAATCATTAATCTACATATCAAAGAAGTTAAAAAGCGTCCCAGCTAGGATAAAAACAGAGATCTTCATCTACGTATACAAGAGTCAATCTACTAAAGACAAAAATCTTGAAAGCAGCAAAAGAAAAATACCTCATCACAAACATGCATTACAATTAATAATGACTTCTCATCAGAAATAACAGAGGCCAGAAGGGAGTGGAATGACATATTCTAAGTTCTTGAAGTTCTTGGTGTCGACCAAGAATTCTATATCCAACAAAATTATCTCTCAAAAATGAAGACAAAATAAAAACAATTGTAGACAGAAAAAAAAACTGAGAAAATTCATTGTCAGCAGACTTGCCTTACAAGAAATACAGTCAAGTATCACTTAACATCAGGGATACTTTCTGAGAAATACGTCATTAGGCAATTTCGTCATTGTGCAAACATGATAGAGTGTACTTACACAAACCTAGACGGTATAGCCTACTACACACCTAAGCTATATGGTACTAATCTGAAGGGACCACCATTGTATGTGTGGTCCATCATTGACCGAAACATCATTATGTGGTGCATGACTGTACTAAAGAAAATCATTCTCGAGGAAAGGAAATAGCACCAGACAGCATATTGAATCCATAGGAAGAAATGAAGAGCATTAAAAATGGTAAATATAAAAGACTATATAGATATATTTTTTCTCTTTTTCTCTCAAAATTTCTTTAAAATACATAAGATTATATGGAGCAATAATAATAACACTGTGTTGGTGGGTTTATAATACATATAGATATAATATATTTATATGACAGTAATAACAAAGAAGGAGGGGGCAATGTACATGTATTGGAACAAAGTTCTTATATTTTATCAGAATTAAGTTTGTATTCATCTAAAGTGAATTGTGATTTTAAAAAAAGAGATGCATCCATAAAGCAATATCTAATAAAATAACTAAAACATAGTTTAAAACTCAACAGAGGAATTAAAATAGTACACTGAAAATATTTATTTCATGCAAAATAAGTGAGATAGTAGTAAAAGAGTAATAGAGGAACAAAAAACAATGAAACCTGAGACACACAAAAAGCAAAAAGAAAAATGGCAGATATAAATCCAAACATACAAACAATAACATCACATATGCATGGAATAAACACTCCAATCAAAAGTACTTTGAAAAATACAATTTGAAAGAAAAAGAAAGTAAAAATATGAGCTATGCAAACAAAAATCATAGGAGTGGTGGAGTGACTATATTAATATCAGATAAAATCAACTTTAAGACAGGTAATACTTCTAGAGTCATTTAATAATGCTGAAAGGGTCAATACCTTAGAAAGATATATCAATTATAAATGTATAGGCAGCTATCAATACAGCCCCAAAATGTATGAAGTAAAATCTGACATAATTGAGAAAAGAAACAGACAGCTCAACAATAATAGTTGGGCATTTTAATATGCCACACTCAATAACTGATAGAATAACTAGACAGAATAACAGCAAGAATATGGAAGGCTTGAACAACACTATCAACCAACTTAATCTAATTGACATTTATAGAACACTCCACCCAATGACAGCAGAATGCATTTCTTTTCAAGTACGCTTGGCTATTCTCCTGGATATATCATATATTACATGTTGAAACAAGTCTCAACAAATTTTAAAAGATTACAATCATACAAAATATGTTTTCTGATCCCAACAGAATTAAAATAGAAATTCACAACAAAAAGAAATTTGAAAAGCCCCCAAATGTTTAATGTTTAGAAACTCATATATATCAAATCTAAAATGTCTCCCTCAGGCAACAAACGTCATATTAGAATTATAGCTAAACATTAATTTAACAATCTGGTCCTAACTTACTTTTCCATCAGTATCTCAACTGATATTAGCTTATTATCTCAGTGTTATAGCTAACACTGAAAGCCCACTAAATGCTGAGCAATATACCAAGTAGTTTACATATTTAATTTAATCCTTACAAAGACCTTTGAGCAGAGAGGTACAAGTAGTTCCATTTTACAGAGTAAGACTAAATTTCTAAATGTGGGAATTTGCCCATGATCAAAAATCAGAAAGTAAGGGAGCTAGGATTTGAATTCAGATGCACTTTATTTCAAAGCCCATGTGCTTTCTGCTGCAACACACTATAGTGCCTAAACTTGGGAACTTGGTTGATAAGTTCTCTTTTCTCCCGCTAGTAAGAGAAAACTATGAAGGAACCATGAACTTTCTCAAGACTTCCCCACAATAGATAACATGTGAGCCATACTGTCCCTGATTTGCTTGGTCTTTGCTCCGTAGATGATGGGATTAAGCATGGGGGGAATTAACACATAGAGATTTGCCATAAGAATGTGGACATGGTGAGGGATATTCTTGCCAAAGCGATGGGTCAGGAAAGTGAAAAAGGATGGGATGAAGAAGAGGAGAATGACTCCAATGTGAGAACCACAGGTGTTGAGAGCCTTGTGCCGGGCATCCTTGGAAGGAAGTCTAAATGCAGCTTGCAGGATCAAAGTGTAGGAAATACCAATGAGTGCAACATCTACCAAAACTGATGCCATTGGCACTGAGAAGCCATACCAGATGTTGACAGTGATGTCAGCACAGGCCAATCTGGCCACCCCAATGTGTTCACAGGATGAGTGGGGGATGATATTCGTCCGACAGTACGGCAGCCTCTTCAACAGGAATATGATAGAGAAAATAGTCCCAATGCTTCGTCCCCAGATTGCCAGGGTCATTTTTACAATTGCTGTAGAAGTTAAGATGGCTGTGTAACTCAAGGGAGTACAAATGGCCACATAGCAGTCAAATGCCATGGCCAGCAGGATTTCTGACTCAGCCACAAGGCAACATGATGAAAAACATCTGAGCGATACAGGCATCAAAGGTAATCTCTCCAGCATGGAACCAGAAGATAGGTAGGGCCTTTGGCACTGTGGTGGTGGACAGCAAGATGTCAGTGCCAACCAGCATGGATAGGAGACATACATGGGTTCATGGAGAGTGCGTTCATTGAGGACAACAAGGATGAGGTCTCCATTTCCCAAGACTCCAGTGATGTACATGAGGAAGAAGGGGATGGAAACCCAAGTGGCAGTTCTCCAGTCCTGGGATGCCAAGTAGGATGAACACGGTGGGGTGAAAGTTGGTGAGGTTAGCACCAAACATGCCTGCTTTGGAGTCTTTCTATGAAGACTAGAGAAAGCGAGAGTCAGTGGGCAGAACCAGCTGTAAGTTTCACTGAAAGTTGGACATTAGATAATGAAATCAATCACTAATGCCTTGACTTAGAGTAAATAATGTTATGCTTTCACATCCTACATTATCTTTGCAAACATAAATGTAAACATAGGTTCCTGAACAGAACTCAGCAATATCTAGAATCTGTACATACCTCGCCATTCTCACTAACATGCTCCTACTCCGGCTTTGGTCATCCTTCACCTGTTCTGTTGCAATAGCATCCTCACTAATCTGGTCTCCCCATCTCCCAGCTTCCCATCCTCAACCACTCCATATCCATCAGCTGTGTTGCAACCTTGGTGGTATGCCCCAAACAAAAATCTTGTTGTGTTTTCTCTTACAACTCTTATATAATGATTTATTGTTTACAAGATAAAGCCCAAACTTCTCAAGCATGCAAAGCCTTCACAATCCTGCTGTTAGTCTCTTCTCTAGCTTTAATCCCCTTTAGGCACTCTAACAAAGCTAAATCAGACCATGATCCATTCTCCACACAAAATCTGAGTTTTCCAACCTTCGTGACTTTGCTCAAGCTTTTCTCTTAATCTGGACATACTTTTCTACCTTTGGTGTTTGTTAAACTCCTATAGATCTTCCAGTTCACAGCTTCAATACTTATCATCTGGGAAGCCTTCCCCAGGTTCAAATTCAGGGTTTCCAACTCTCTGATTACTGACAAAAAGCAAAATTTTCACATCTCATAAATTTAGCCTTATCTGTGAAAATAATCTATTCATGCTTGTCTTGCAAGGATTAAATTAAATCGTTCCTGTCAACTGCCAAGTATAGTACCTGGCATAGAAACCCTAAATAAATGCTAGTTATTGTTATTCAGTGGTCAGTACAACTTAATAAGGGGCCCATAAACTAACATATTTGGAATTTAAAATGTAATAAAGTAGCATTTCAATTTAGTGGAGAAAGGAAGGCCTACTCAATTAATGGCATTGGGATATTGGACAATATTATTTTTGTTAGAGAATAAAATTAGCTCCCATCTCACTCAGTAAACAAATAGAAATTCCAGATAAACTAAAGATGTACATTTAAAAAATAAAACTACAAAAATATTGAAAATTAAAATAAAGGTCTTAGAAGAAAACATAGGAAAATATTTTGGAGATTGGAAGATCTTCTTAAAACAAGAAAACCATATTTCATAGACAGTAACAATTGAACGATGTAATTATGCAAAAATGTAGTCATGGATAAATAAAAAGTCTAGGAGAAAAACTTACAAAGCATGTAATGGACTAAAGGTTAAGATCCTTAAATACTAAAAGTTGGTATAAATTAATAAGGAAAAATTAGAAAATCTACAAAGAATCAAAGTAGGCAACTCACACTACAAGAAAAATAAATGGTCAATATACATGTGAACAGATGCTCAAAATTTAAAGAAATGAAAATCAGTATCATATTAAAATATTGTCAGATTGGAAAACATAAGAAAAACAATTAGCCCCCAGTGCTGGTGGCACAACATGAGAACATATAGATATATTTATAAGAATACTCATTGCAACACTGTTGCAATAGTAAAAGAAAAGTATATTACAACTTCAATATCCATCAATAGGGCAATAAATAAATTATGGTACATATATTAAAATGGAATGTTTTGTTTCCATTTTTAAAATAGGAGTATTCACCATGGCATATAGTTAAGTGAAAAAGCAAAACGAAGATTAAAATGGATAAAATAATTCTTTTTTTCTCTCTATGTATCAGTTAGGACACTTTACATTATAAGCAACAGAAAATCCAACCCCATTTTGGCTTGAGCACAAACGGGAATTTTTTTTTCTTTTGCTCCTGAAACGGAAAAGTATGTTTCTGCTATCAGGTTTATCTAAAGATTTAAGACGTCATCAGGGGCTCTATTTCTCCGTGACTCTCAGCTCTGCCCTCCAGGTGTTGACTTTGCTGGGGCCAGGCCTAAGGTGAGACGAGTGAGGCACTTACCTCAGGTACCAAATGTAAGAGTATACCCAAAAAAATCTGTAAACAAGATAAATAATATTTTAATACAATCTTTTTTAATCAAAATTAATGCAAAATATGCACGATGAACAAAATATCAAAATTTTAGATAAAGATAGGATTGACAATACTGTATTGAGTCATATTTGAGCCCAAGGCAAAAGGAAAAATGAGTCCCTATTTACATGTCTTCATGTGTTTTTAATGATTAAATTTTTCCATAATTTTGTTTTGAAATATTATTTATGTTTCTTCCATTAAAGCCAGTAAAATTATAATAAATTCTAATTTTCTTATAAATAATATATTTAAACTTAAACTAATGTTGTGAGTTTTAATATACCTATTTTTCAATGATTCACTATTTTTTAAATCACTTTAATATTCTGGAAAAACATTAATCCTAGTTCCACCCTTGCATAGCAAAAAATGTCCGCAGTAGTTCAAGATGTCAAGATGTATACACCAAGTAGTGTGTGTGACACTACATTATCCAGAGGATCTCAGAAGATCTTGTCTGAATCAACAGTTTATTGGAACAGGAAAACCTAAAAATCCCAGGAACCAAACATTTATTCCCTTCCAGAAACTTATCCCAGTTCAAGAGAAAGTTCTTCCCTCACATGCGAAAGAAGCTGCCAGATGCATATTCTGAAGGGAAATAGGACAGTATTTGTACCTTATCTGCAGGAATCCCTTGAGTGAGGACAGACCTTCCACTCCATTATGTCTTTAGGGAGCATCTGGTTTAATTAGACAGAAGCAGATCCCAGCAGTCTCCAGAGATCACTGACTCAGGAACAAGAGAGGGTGGATAATTTAACTATGTCCTACCTGCAGCAGTCTATACAAACTGCATCTGCTAATGACTCCATATTTCTGGCTAACATATGGATACAGAGTGGATTTGGGTTGTTGCTACTCAATACATAGACCATTCAAATCCTGCTTATACCTGCTAGACCTCAATGTACATAGAAACCTGTGGAGACATAGAAGAAATAGTAGGTCAGAAATAGCTAAGTGGTGTGTGTGTGTGTGTGTGTGTGCAAATGATTTTCAGTCATAAAATTAGACAATGTTTAACAGTGAAGGGTCCAGAGGTCAACCACTTCACCAAATTTCAAATATTTCAATCTATAAATATACGTATTGAACTCTATCTAGATGCCGGAACTATAATGATGAATAAGACATATTCTCTGCCTCACAGAACTCAAGTTCTGGTGGTTTGATAGAGTAATTAATATTCAGTTGAAACCATAATTGTCATTGCTGTGGAAGCCCAGAGGATAAGATGGTCACCTCTGACTTGGGGGGATCGGCAAAGACTTCAAAGAGGAGTTGACATCAGGACTCTACCATTTGCCAGCTGTGTGGTCTTGATTATTTATCCTGTCTGAGTTTTGGATGCCCCTATGTACATAACAGAGATTGCCACAGTACTATCTCATGAGGTTATACAAGGATTACATGAGTTAATGCAGCAGAGCACTTAACCTGGCTCCTAGCATAGAAAAGCTATGAAATTACCTAGCTACTAAACATTAGCTATTGTTGTAATTATTATTATCATTAATATTATTATATTATATATCAGTGTATTACTATATGGTGGTGTGTGTTGAGATACTGATGGAAAAGTAAGTTAGGACCAGATTGTTAAATTAATGTTTAGCTTAGAAATTACTCTGTAGTCCTGTGATTTCCAAACTGTGACTGACAGAACACTAGGTAATTTTAGAGATGTAAATTGATGGGCTATCAAAAAATTATATGGACATAGATACAAATATCTATGGTCACATAAGTGTGAGAAACTGCAAACTGTGAACTCGAGCCTTCTCTTGGACAGACATGTGCATGATTCACACAGTGTCAGCATTTTTCATGCTTATTTGACCATGGAACTTTTTATAAAACGTCCATTCTGATGTCTGATATCTATTTCTACAGAATATTCTGTGGAAAACACATCTGTAAGTAATGGAGAATACTCAAAAGTGCTTGACAGAAAGTAGTATGACTGGTTCTGCATTTTAGAATACTTAACTTAGAGCCAACTTATAGTTTAGGTTACAGTGTAAAATATTGAAAACATTGAAATCAATTTAAAAACTAATGTATTATCTGAGGCGAAAGATAATAAGGGACATGAGTAATTGGTAGAGGCAATATTAAAAAGAAAACTAACAATACTAATAACATTAATGAAGTATTTCTCAGATACTTACTATGAGCTAAGGATTGTGTTAAGTGCTATATACATCGTTCATTTCATTTAATCTTCTCAACAACCCTATGAGATACTCTTGCTATCCTCATTTTACAGATGAAAAAATTGAGGACTAAAAATGATAAATAAATTTCACAAGTTCACACAGCTGGGAAACAGTGGGGACAGGACTTGAATCCTGATAAGATTCCAAATACTGTCCAGATAACCATTTAGTGGTACAATCAACATGAGTAACAACCAACAACTTCTTGAGGAGCAGGCTGGACAGGAAGAAGTTGAGAAATTCCTCAAGGTTTCCAGCTCAGTGAAGTTGATGGGATCATCATAATCTAGTTCCCAAGAAAAGGAACAAAAACAGGAAGAAAAGCTAGCATGAGTGGGAGTTCTGTATTGTGGAGGAGATATCCAGTTGATAGGTTGATTTATGCATTTAAAACTCAAAAGAGAGTTCTAGGATGGAGGGAGAGATGTGGGACTCACTAGTGTTGGTGGTGGTCGAGGAAATGAGTGTACATGACCTTTTTGGGAAAAGTGTGAAAGAATGAGAGTCAAGACTCTGAACTCCTAGAGACGACTCCAAATTTGCTAACCTGGACATGAACAATGTGCTATAATTCCTGATACTGGGGATGGTCAGAAGACAGGTAGAAGAGAAAATCAAGAGTACCCTGCTTCCTCCCACTCTTGTCTATTTCCTAGTCTCTGAGATATA